ACTCTACTAAACACAAGCGCCCTAAAAAATACATACTGACCCATAACTCTTTATTTTCCGTTTCTCAAAAATTTTTAAATCCATTTTAGTCTCCAAAATATCATACGCTTCGAGTTTCAAAAGTTTTTGCAAATAAAAATAGTATTACTAGATGACTTTTTCTAAACTTTCTTTATTAAATATAATGATTCCATTAGATTTGCTAAGCATTTCCTTTTATAAATTCACGATGATTCTTATTTAAAACATTGTTTTAAATCTATAATGATTTTTTCTTAGATAGAAATTTCCAAAATTTTTGATTAGATAGAAGTTTCCAAAATTAAAATCTATGATAATTTTTTCTTGGATAGAAGTTTCAAAAATTTTGTAGCAGATGGATGTTAATGGTCTGTAGTTTTCTGTATGTAATTTACTACGCTTTTTAAAGAGAGTAAACATTTGGGCAACATTTGCTTATTTCCATATATTTGGTAACTCGCCACTGCCTAATGATTTCTTAAAGATAATACATAACGGATTTGTTAAGACTGTAGTAAGGATTTGTTAAGACTGTAGCGAAGTCGACTTTTTATAAATCGAATTTATATAAAAGACGAATTTAGGTTATATGCGTATACCGAATTTAACTGAAAAACGAGTTTATCCCATATATTTTTGGTTATTTTTTTTTTATTTTTTGCTTTAAATGTTTTGAGAAAAACTAACGGTTTTGCCACGGAGTACATCAGAAAAGTATTAAACTAGAAAAATCAAACTTTTTACCTTACCGATGGTACAAAATATGCCCAGAGCTTGCTTTTAACCCCAGGCACAGTGGTCAGAAATGCTTGAAATTGCGAATTAATTGTGTTTCCTTTCCAAAATAGTTGATATTGGTAATAATATAAAAAATCAAGCATGAAACATTTTAAATAAATAAAATTTATTTGGTTTTTAACACTTTTGTTAACTTAAAATGTAATAGTTTTAATAATATAATAAAAAATTTAGAAAAATAATGAATTTTAATAAGTTGTTTTCATTTTCACAAAAATTTTATACTATTTTTAAATTAAAAATAATTTCAAATGTCCAACAACTTAATCTGAATCACTATCATCACGAAAGCCTGGTGACTAGTGTGGTTGGTTCAGAACACTCAAGTAAAGAAACAATCCTTGCTGGCAGTTTTCTCTTCTTTTTGAATCTTTGGCATTTTTCAACACATGATCCTTGAACTTTTAGATCACTCAAATCTGTGAGCCTGTGGAACATATCAGCCATGCCATGTGCCCATGAAGACTTTCTTGTATGATGCATTCTGAAGTTTCTCAAAAACCTATTGTTGGCTTCAGATCCTTCTTCACTTGTAAGTCCAATTGGAAGAGAGCAATTGTCAATAAGATCCTTGCCATGTTTGAAAATTTTGTGAAGTGTTGGAGGTAGAAAATACCAATCACAGCCATACTCTTCATCAAAATAAATTTCTTCAGTTTCTTGCAAAGTTCAGCTAACTTTGTTGAATTGAAGGCAAATTCACTTGATAGTGCTCCCCAGATTGTGGCAATGTTCTCAACAAGTTTAACTGGAATTTTACAAATCTCTGATGTAATTGCAGGGTTGTCAAAGGCAATACAGGCAACATTGCCAGTAGTTGTTCCGGCACCGCCATCCCGTCTTTTATCAACAATAATGCCTAATTCTCATGGAAATCAATTCTGCAGATGTTGGAAGTTCTGAGTACAGAAAAAATATATTCTTGAATAACTTTAAATTGACCATTTCTGTCCGTAATGGCAACATTACTCTCTTTCATGACTTGAAAGAGAGTAATGTTTAGTTAAAGTTTAGTTCGTTTTTTTTAAATTAGTATTTTTGAATTATTTCGCATTTTCAAGCCTTTCTGAACACTGTGCTAGGTCTATTGTTTCTAAAGCAAGCACTCTAACCACTGCGCCGCAGTTGCTGTAAAATCATTTTTTATAAAGTAAAGTTATTATTTTTTAGCTTGTAATTAACCATAATTTAAAACTTGACATAAAACAAGTGAAGCCAATTAAATTTTAATTTCGGCTTACTTTCATTGAGACGGTACTTCGTCAGCTTTAAGCGATTCAGAAAATATAATATTTTGTGGGATAGTAAAGCCTGCAGCACAGTATTTCAGGACGAGTGGGTGAATGCCGTCGAAGCCCATTGATTTGGTTTTGTTCAGGTCCAAAAATTTTTTTTTGACGGATTTATATAATGCGAGCGTGGTCGGTTGGTTTACGCTAGTGGAACGAGGGTTGAATGTTGGAATAGACCCTAGCGGCTTGATTTCGAAAACTGATTGAAAATGTTTGTTTAGTATGTTGCAGATTACTTTATGATCTGTTGTAGTTTGTTTATTATTAGTTGTTTTAAGTTGACGGATGCGGTTGTGTGTTTCTTGTTTGCTTTTGACGTACGAGTGGATGATTTTTGAATTATGTCTGCTATTGTTTACCTGTTCCATTTCGTAAGCAAGAACTGCTGATTTAACTAGTTTTTTAACTACTTTGCTTTTTTATGCTGTTCGCGTAGAGTTGGCTTGTTTCTTCGGCTAGCTGCGATAAATTTGCCCCAGAGTTCGCTTTTCAATTTGACAGCGTTTGAAACATCTTTTTTTTGTTGTTGTTGTTATTATTGGTAATTGTTTTCATTCGATTTCAAGGTAAGTATTAGTATAGTTTATAAAATTTGTTTAATTCCCGCACTGATACTATAGTAACAGTGCTTATTATTAGTATAGCAGTAAGCAACCCGTAATACGGGTTAAAAATAACTAAACCATTAGTAACAACAAAACTTACTACGTTATCTAAAAATATATATCTAAATACAAATTTATTTGTAAATAATTTTACAGATAAATTTGTATTTAAAGTTCGGCTCCCTATTAGCTGTCATTGCTTATAGTTATAATTATTTTATAAAACAGCAAACAACGCGTAAAGTATGTTTATAGACGGTCATTATCAATAGTGTTAAGAAGTACGCAAGAGCTCCGTACTTATTCAGGTTTTATCTCGCTTTATTAATTCTTATTTAAGTGAGACTAAGACAGTGTTTCCAAGGCACCGTGTTAGAAAAAGACATAATAATTAACTTAAGGGAGTTACTGTTAAATATGACAAAAACTTTTTTTTTTTAGATATATATTTTTTTTAGAGTGAAGGCGTTTTTATTATCATTTAGTTGAAATTTTCCTTAACATCTTTAAATTTTTTGGAGAAGTTAAAAAATTTTATAATACTTATATAAATGTTAACTTCTAATGTCTAACGGGACACTTATTAATTTTTTTGGTAACCCCCTCTCCTTTATTAAGGAATTCTATTTAACTTAAAAGCGTTTAATGTGCGCATAATTAAATTTTAGTTAATTACATAAAGGTCTCTCCATCATAGATGAAAAATGCATTTTAAACAGAAATTTTCAAATATTTCATGCTTCTAAAATCCGACCCTTCCGTTTATTACAAAATCACAAATTTATTTAATAATATTTTTTTTAACAAAACTTTATTATTTAATAACAAAACATAATTATTATTTGTGTTCTCCTGTATCGCATAAATACGTCACATGGTGTCTAAAAGAAAAATGTAATAGATAAGTAAATATAATAGAAAAGAAAAACATTTTTAAAACAGGAAAACAATTAACCTGTTTTTGGCAAACTGCAGTTGCTGTTTTGATGAAGCAATATTTAATGGTGTTGTTCAATGACATTATTTCATGCTGGCTTTTATTAAAGACGAAAAAATTAACATTTATTAAAAAACAAATTAAAAATGTTTTAAAGAATAGAACTATGCACAACACTAAAGATAAAAAAAAAAAAACAAATTGAAATATAAACAAATTGTGTTTATAACAATATGTTTTGTCTTGGCTTTTAGTGAATGATTAGAAACAGTAAGCTCCATGAATAGAACTACCAATTAATCATTTTTAACGATAGACACCAACGGGAAGGTAAGCCAACTGTCTATCAACACAAATCATCACAACAATATTACAACGATAACGCACAACAAAAGCACATAAGATATTTATAAGTACACATTACACTTGCTCTTTACAATGGCAAAGTCAAACCACTTTGAAACCACTGCATAAAATAGACAAAGAAACAAACTATAAACATATCGTCACGATCATAGCACAATCGTCTAAGTAATTTTTTTCTTGTTTTGAGAAAACTAAAAAAAAAAAAATGAATAACTTCGGTATTTCTTTTGCTACGTCACTTTGGCTTATTTTTGGCATCTTTTTACTTAGATGCTTTCATATATTGCTTTAGAAATGATATGTGTATTACCGTTGAGACACAATAGAATATAGGTCAAAAGCAATAAGATATAAGTAAAAAAGCGGATTTAAGCAGAAGTGAAAAAACTAAAAATCAACTCCTTTCTGATTGGTTTAAGGCGATTTGCCACATTATTAGACTGTTTAAGCTATATATATTTCAACTCTTAACTTCCAAAAAACCCCCAAAAAATGACTTAGGCAATTGTGCTATGATCGTGACGATATAACATTATAAAACATATTAACACATTTAACACATTACATATTTGTATGTACATATGATGCTTAATATTAATAGACATTACGTGTTTCCAGAATAATTAAAAAAGGCTAGACAACACAACCTAGCCACAACAAAGCAGTAACACCACTTGGCACTAAACGCTGCCAAGTCACACCTCTGCTTTAAGTACACCGCTTGGCTGGCAAGGTTAACTATCTTGCTCGACACGTTTGCCAAGTCACACCACTTTGAAAACATGGAAACAACGTAATATAAACATATATACACAAACTATAAACACATACACACAAACCCTAAACACATATACCTTGATAACACATATAGCCCAAGTATTACATGAACAATTTAAATAACAACTAACACATAACATAAATATAACACTTACATAACACCTATAACAATTATAAACATGTATAAAGACAAATATAATTACTAAAACAATATAAAATAAAACTATGAAAAAAAGTGAAATTATAACAAAAATCTCATAATTATAAATTAAGAACATTAGAAAATACAACATTATTTGTATAACACTTTTCACCTATCATACCTTGAATGGGATGTTTATCAATTTTAAAAAATAAACTATTAAATGCTCTAGTTCTTGAACATGCAACATAAAGTTGACCATGAGTGAAACACGGTTTCTTTAGATATACACCAACTCTATCAAATGTTTGACCTTGACTTTTATTAATTGTCATTGAATATGCCAATCTGACAGGAAACTGGCGACGTTTTAGAACAAAAGGTAAATTAGAATCTGACGGAGCCAACTGAATTCGAGGTACAAATACCCGTTTACCAGCAGAAATACCTGTCAAAACCTCTGCATCAATATAATTATTTTGAAGAGCACAAACTTTCATTCGAGTGCCATTGCATAACCCAGCTTTGAGATCTAAATTTCTAAGTAACATAATTATACAACCAATTTTAAACTTTAAAGAATGAGGAGGCATACCTGAGGGAGTTAAGCTATTTAAAAACTCAACAGGAAAGTTATTTCTTTCATTAAGATTGTCTGTCTCAACTTGATCAGCACTTAAATAAGTTTTGACCTCACCCGGTAGACGTTGAAGCACTTCCTCATTGATTGATAGTGAATCCACATTAGTTGGTGTCAAAATGACACGTTTAGCATAATCGTCTTGTTCGGCATCCCCAAATATCTTTTCAACAATGGAGTCATTTTCCCTAATAAGGCATTGATGCGGTATTTCAACGCACCCTTTAAAAGGATCTTCCTCTTTGACAAATACTGTTCCACTACCAAGTCTCAACAGCCAATTTGAAAATTCCCTTTCCCCATCATGTACTCTCATATTTTCTGTTAACTTAAACTTCTGCACCCATTGCCAATGTAAAGAACATTTTATACATGCTTCTACAACTTCAGCTGGTTGTCCTCTTTTCACAACAGGCAGTATTTGTCTAAAGTCGCCTCCAAAAAGAATGACTTTTCCTCCAAATGGAAAGTTGTTGTTGCAAACATCTTTTAATAACCTATCAATTGCATTCAATGCATGTTTGGGTATCATGGATGTTTCATCAAGCAAAAACAAACTAACCTGACTTAAAAAGTGTCCATGTATAGAGTTTGGAGTAACATTACATGTGCTGTTATCTAATATTGGAACAGGAAGTTTGAATAAGCCATGCAATGTAGATCCATTTGTAAGAAGAGTTGCTGCTATGCCAGTCCATGCAGCTGTAGCAGATTTGATACCTCTACTGCTGGTTTCAGCAATCAAATAATTATATGTAAACGTTTTTCCACTACCAGCCGGTCCATCCATGAAAAACAATCGAGAATGCTGATTTTCTACACTTGGTTGTTCATTCAATGCAGCAAGAATAGCATTACATACATTTAATTGATTGACATTGAGCAGTGGTCTCATTCTATTGGCTTCATCAATTGATTGTTGAACATTTTGATTGAAATTTTCTAGATTATCTAGATTAAAATCTAACTCAATAACAGGAAGATTATAATCTGCCAGCGTTTTACCACACTGATTAATAATCTTTTCAACTTGACAAAGAGCAGCTTGTTCAGCTATTATAAGCGGGACTGAGCGGTGAATAAAGTCCTCAATCATAAATGCTTTGTATGTAATCCAAAGATGCAAAGGATTGTCTGGTTCACAAAAAGTCAAAATAATTGCAAATAACTGTCTAATTTGCTTTGGCATACGTGTTAAAACTGCCTCAGAAAGTGCATTTTGCCATTCAGTGTCATCTTGTAACAAACCATTTAAAACGCATGCTTCACGAAATGTTTCAACAACAATACCATTAACAGTACGCACATCCACCCAAGACTTGGCTCCTTTTGCATGCAAAAGTAACAGCCTAAGAAAAAATAATTCTCCACTTGGATTAACTTTATACATTCTTACTATCACCTTATTACCACCTCTTTGTCTAACCTTCCATTTACAAAGCTTATCATCAAATATAAAATGATAAGGAATGTCTACATATGAATAGCAATGTGCTCTTTCATTTTCAGAATTTAACTTGAACCATGCTGTAAGGTGTGTATCACGTTGAGCTGCACGATCTAAAGCCATTTGTTCTGCTCCTTCTCTAAAATACACTAATTGATTCTCAGGAAGATGAACTTTAAGACGGATAATAGTGTGTGACATATGACTTATGGGATACTCAAAAATTCGCCACAATGCTTCAGGTGCACTAACATAACGACAGTCTAAAAAAGTGTTTACTTCATCATGATTAATTTGTTCATTTATCAAAATATTGGCACAGTCGTGACCCTTGTATATGTATTTGTACAAATATTTAACAGCCTTAACAGACATGCAAGCTTCAACATTAATGTGGGCTTGATATTTCTTTGATAACCATGGATTGTAAGGTACCACCCAGCGGTTATCTACATTGTTGCCTTTAATATTGATAACCAAACCATTATCACGACGCCTATAGCGAGGATAACCATTATGAACTACTACTGTGTTGGCATTAAATTCTTTAGGATAATTTTTGCTGCACACCCCATCTTTCATGCAGGTAGAATTTGGATTCAGTATGCCACATGGGCCATGAATCATGCAAGTTTTAATAACATCATAAAGTTCACGATTTATAATTGGATCTGGAATTTCAGCACATATTAAACTATTGATATCCTGTGCTGTCTCCAGCTTGTCATCAGTGGCAAAGTGAAGTAAAATATGAACATGTGGTAAACCACGCTTTTGAAATTCGATAACATGAACATGGGTTACGACTTTCCCTAATACACCATGCTTAAAAATATCATTTAGGAGATTATTTAATTTGAGTTTAAATACTCGTGTAACTAAATCAGGTCTATCATTTGCAGTTTGACCTGGATATAAATTTTCAGTTATCTCGTGCCATTTTGGGTTGCAGGTAAAAGTAATAAAAAGATCTGGTTTACCATACTTTTTAATTATAGCCATAGCATCTTCAAAGTTTTCTTTTAAAGCTCTAGGACTTCCTACATAAGTAGATGGCAAAACTACAACGCGCCCTACTCTAACATTATGATCGTTTCCAAGGTTGTCTACATGTTCATGTAAGGCATCATACTGCTCGCTTCTAAGTTTGTTTTGGTTATTTCTGATAAAAGCAAGGCGCTGGCCTTCAATTTTGACATATGCATCAACAGCATATTGCTGAAATAGTTTCTTGCCATAAAAGATTGAAGAAAAAATTTGTCTAACCGAAAGTCTATAATTGTAATACTGAGATAATGTAACATGATTTCTAACCAATGTAGCACGTTCAGGGTTGTGAACCAATTGATTATGCCAACCAGCATCACCCCTTGGGAAAAATAGAGGATAAACCATAGGATCTAAGTTGGCAGACATACTTGATATAGTTTTAAGAGGATGACCTCTCGGGTAAATAACAACTTCTCTGGAAGCAGGAGGAGCACCATCTTCACCAACAAATACAACTGCAACTTCATTATGTGAAGGGAGATTATAGCGACATCTATCTTGCCCTTCAAGTAAAGACATTTTTACAACTGAGACTGAGCGACCTTCTATAGCTGCTTGGCGAATTTCTTCATCTTCCACTTCAGCCATGTTTTTAAATGCGAGAGCAAATGGGTTCTCCTCACTAATAATAGTTTGCAACCGAAACATTAAATCATTTAAGCAAAGATCATTACCAGGTTGTCGCATTCTAAAATTTATTGCTGCAAGTGGATCATAAATGTATAGTTGACAATATGTTGGAGGAATATCTTGATCTGGCCTAAGATTACCAACACGATGAAAAACCTGACCACATATTCTAAAACATGGCGGCCCATGATTCATGGGTTGAACTACATTAGCAGTAAATGAAGCAAAAGAAAGACAGGCATTATAATTTCGAATATATTTTAGAAAATTCACATTGGCATTTCGATCTACATAACTTCCTGTAAATAAATCTTGTAAATCTTGCGGAAATGGTGAAAGTTGAGACAAAACTACCTTTCCATTATGGCAACATAAAAAATGTGTTTCATCAGGAAATTTCTTAGCACCACAATGCTGACAAATATGATTCATTTCTCCTAAATAATTATAATCTGGAATAGTATTACTTCTTGCTATACAATGCATTCTTTCATGTCTACCAGCATATCTAGCATTCTGTTGATTATTAATTTCATCTCGCCTCAGCCTATTTCTTGCATTTCTGCGACGATTATTATCAACTTGCCTAATGACATTGTCCTCATTTTGATTCAAATTATTAGCAGCTTGCCGAGCAGCATATCTAATATTTTGAAGATGATTAATTTCATCTCGCCTCAGCCTATTTCTGGCATTTCTGCGACGATTATTTTCAACTTGCCTAATGACATTGTCCTCATTTTGATTCAAATTATTTGCGGCTTGCCGAGCAGCATATCTAGCATTCTGTTGATTATTAATTTCATCTCGCCTCAGCCTATTTCTGGCATTTCTGCGACGATTATTTTCAACTTGCCTATTAACATTTTCATCATTTTCATCCATTTAAATTTTACTTTTAATTGATAATAGTAACAAAAAAACTTGAATTAATCCAGAAGATTGTGATCTTTTTTTTTTTTACTACTCTAAATTGCACATACAAATTATTTTTAAAAAATGACAGGAAATTTTTATTTAAAATAAACTAAATTATACAACAATCTTGTGCATTTTTTATAAAAAAAATTTCATAAATATATCTGGTAAGAGATGTTTAAACAAAAAATTAACTCATAATAATAATCTAAATAAAAAAATAACGAATAGGATTAAAAAATAATGAATAATAAAATTTGAATAATAAATTTGAATAATAAAAGTGCTGCTTAAACAAAAAATAGAAAAAAAAATTAAAAAATAAAGTATTTGTAAACCCTTTTTGTAAACTTCAAATTATTTCTATAGAAAAATTGTTTAAAAAATATTAAAATAATTTAACCTTCACAAACAATGAAATGACTGTTCAAAAGTTGTAGTTTAATTTAATTTTCTAAATTCTAAAGAAATAAACAAAAATCTAACAGCATCATTGAAATGTTAATAATATAATAAGCAACATGACAAAATTCAAATTCAATATATAAAAGATCATTTATCTGTTTTTCTTTTTTCTTATTACTTACTTTTTTTTTTTTCTTTATTATTAAGACTATCTATTTTACATATTAAAATATCTATATTAGATAAAAATTAGAAGATTAAATTTATTAAAGCTTAACATAAGTTAAAAGCAGTTATAAACACTAAACTATTGAATTCGAAACAATGAAAAGAAATAAAATCTGGTAAAAATCAACAAATTATAAACTTTAAAATATTAGATATTTACATGTGGTTTTTTTTTACAGTTAATTATCTACTATAGTACATTTTTCTGATTTAACTGATATGATATATATTGGGGACAATTACAGTCATGTTATATTGTGAACCAAAAATTAAATATCTAGTCAAAAATTAATAGTCTAAACAAATACTAAAAAAATAAAAACAAACAAAATTAAAATTATAAATTTATTTCATTGAGAATAAAACACCAAGGAAAAAACAGCAACAAAAAAATTGTAAATATCTTCACTGATTAAAGATATTTAAAATTTTTTTGTTGCTGTTTTTTCCTTGGTGCCTCCCAGCACCCCTGTATGGATGAGCTCTCCATTTAAATGAGGGCTCATCCATACCATTATTAAAGCACCATTTGTTAAAGGACCTCTCAGAAAGAGGTCCTGGGTGCTGGGAGCGATAAAGCCTGTAGCTGCTCCAATTTAGATCTAAAGAAATAAAAAATAATATAATAAAAAAAATAGATATTTGCATTTAAAATAATAATAAGATAAAAGCATAACTCTACCGGTTGCAGCAGTGCCAGACAATGCTAAAGAAATAGAAGGAAAAAAAAAGTAGAATAAAGTAAAAACTGAACATGTTGGTATTTGTGTTTTGAATAAAATTGCGATTTGAAAAAAAAACGCATAAAAATATAAAACATAATCCTACCAACTGTAGTAGTACCAGATGACGATGCTAAAGAAATGGAAAAAATAAAATAAAAACCAAACATGTTCATATTTGTATTTTGAATAAAATTGCAATTTGAAAAAAAATGCATAAAAATATAAAACATAATCCTACCAGTTGTAGTAGTACCAGATGACGATGCTAAAAAAATGGAAAAAATAAAATAAAAACTGAACATGTCGATATTTGTATTTCAATTAAAAAATAAAGCATAACCTTACCAATTGTAGTAGTACCAGATATCAGCGCTAAAGAAATAAAAATTAAAATGAAAGTAGGGTAAAATAAGAGTAGGATAAATAAAAACTGAGCATGTTAATTTTTGTACTTTAATAAAAATATCAAGCATAACCCTACCAATTGTAGTAGTACTACCAGATGTCAATGCTAAAGAAAGGGAAAATAAAATAAAAGTTAGATAAAGTAAAAACTGAACATCTTAATATTTGCATTTTTATAAAAATATAAAGCATAACCCAACCAGTTGTAGTAGTATCAGATGGTGAGGCTAAAGAAAAAGAGAAAAAAAAAAAGTAGAATAAAATAAAAACCAAACAGGTTGATATTTGTATTTTAATCTAAATATAAAGCATACCCTTACCAATTGTAGTAGTACCAGATGTCACTGCTAAAAAATAGAAAATAAAATAAAAGTAGGGTAAAATAAAAACTGAACATGTTAATCTTTGTACTTAAATAAAATTATCAAGCATAACCCTACCAGTTGCAGTCATATCAGATGATGATGCTAAAAAATGAAAAAAATATAAACTAAACATGTTGATACTTGTATTTTATTTAAATATAAAGTATAACCCTACATGTTGAAGTAGTACCAGAGAACGATGCTGAAAAAAAGAGGGAAAAAAGAAGAAGAGTAGAATAGAAAAAAAAACAAACAAAAAAAAAACAAATGTAATATTTGTATTTTAATAATCTACAATATAATTGCAAAAATATAAAAAGCATAACCCTACCAGTTGTCACAGAGTTTGACACTAATAATGAGACTTAAAAAAAAATTAATGTTAAAAATTATAAAACATATAATAGTTAATAATAAAAAGTATGTATGTATCTAAATATAATTTTTACCTGTTTTCCTCATTTCTGCCATAAAATCATCTAAAACAAAAAAAAACTTGAAAATTTTATAAAAAAGACATAAAAAAAAATCAATCAAATCAGTAATTTGAAAAAATATCTTTAAATTAGGATAAATTAACAATGTTGAGTTAAATTTAAGGCTCTATCACTACTCTGTGTGTGTGTGTGTGTGTGTGTGTGTGTGTGTGTGTGTATATTTATATATATATATATATAAATTATCAATTGGTAAAATTATAAAATAATTTATACCTAGTCTAAGTTTCAATTTTCCTATAAAGTAAAAAGCAAGTTAAAAGTAAACAGTACAAATTATTAAATCCTAATAACAAATATTTAATGACAAAAATACTGACTGTATTTCTTTAGTGCTTTGTCTAAACAATAAATTTAAATACACTTTTATTAAAATCTTTTAAAGACATATATTATAAAAATTCAATAATTTTAAAAACAAAATTAATTGCTAATTGGCTAACTAACGATTATACCTTTATCAGGTCGCTTATGATAAACTAAACAAATTATATATACAATTAACATCTTGTTTTAGACAGAAGTTATCATTAACATATAAATTTAGTTCTACTAAAATAGTTACAAAATTTAAAACTTACTTTCATCTTCCCCATCATTGTCAACTAAATGAAAATTCAACTCCAAAAATACTCTACTATATACTACTAATATTTTAAATTCTACTTAAATATTTAAAAAATCAACACTTACCTTCAGTTTCATCTCCGTGGTTAACTAAATAGAATTTACAATAATAATAATATAAATCAAAATATAAATGAAAAAATAATAAATTATACTTAAATATTTAAAAAATCAACACTTACCTTCAGTTTCATCTCCGTGGTTAACTAAATAGAAATAAATATTATTTACAATAATAATATAAATCAAAATATAAATGAAAAAATAATAAATTATAGTAAACCAAAAAAAACAAAAAATCAAAGTTACACATTAAATAAACAGAAAAAATATATATACTATATACTTGATAATGTACTTAAAATGTAACTAAAATTATTATTATGATTATTAATAAGTCTTATTTATCTTTTAAATCGTTCAAATAGTTTTCACATAGTTTAAATTTTTCCTTACAATAAGACTCCTTTGATGTTAAACAAATAAAATGTTTTGAAAAAGATTAAAATAAAAACTTTACCGTTCATTTTTCTTTTTTGCTAATCTATAATAATTAAATTAATAAAATTAAATATAACCTATAAAGTAAAAATAAGATTTTTACTTTACAACTCTTCATCATTTTATAACAACGTTCTAAAATAAAAAATTGCAAAATTCAACTTAAGTAAACATGTAAATTGAAACTATATAAAAATGATTTCCCTAAAAAGTTAAGAGAAGTTCGTCAGGTCTGGCTCGGTAGACCTTTTGAGTGGACCGCATGTACTTAAAAAACGCGCTCTAAAAAAAGCCTAGAATCTACTTGAAAAAACAATAAACGATGACGTAACGCGACATTGAACATTGAATTTTTACAGTATTCATATTTAGAGAAGACTAATAACAAATATTATTTTTCATTACGCTTAGTAACAAATATTATTTTCATTGTGCTTAGTAACAAATATTTTTTTCATTGTGCATAGTAACAAATAATATTTTTCATTGTGCTTAGTAACAAATATTATTTTCATTGTGCATAGTAACAAATAATATTTTTCATTGTGCTTAGTAACAAATAATATTTTTCATTGTGCTTAGTAACAAATATCATTTTTCATTGTGCATAGTAACAAATAATATTTTTCATTGCGCTTAGTAACAAATATTATTTTCATTGTGCATTGTAACAAATAATATTTTTCATTGTACTTAGTAACAAATATTTTTATCATTGTAATAAAAACTTTTTAATGCAACTTTTAACTGGTAATAATTCATCGGAAAAAAATGTTGTTTTTATCCTAATCTGAATGATCATGGTGTTCTATATAATCTGAATGATCATGGTGTTCTATATAATCTGAATGATCATGGTGTTCTATATAATCTGAATGATCATGGTGTTCTATATAACCTGAATGATCATGGTGTTCTATATAATCTGAATTATCATGGTGTCATATATAGAATACTTTAAGAGCATGTATATTATGAATACTTTAAGAGGATGTATAGTTTTTATTTTTTATTCTTCCAGATATTTTTGTGTTAAATTATTTAAATTTCATTTTATTGCTAAGTATATCTAATAATATATTTTTTAGATGTTTCTTTTTTTTTTTTTTTTTTACATTTTGTAATATTTTTTTACATTTCAGTAAAAAAAAAAATATAAATTTTAAATATGGAGAATAAAATTTTATAAATTTTTCTAATTTCACACAACGATTCGCTACAAAAAAATAATTATTTAACATAGTTTTCTTTAATTAATTTTAATTATTCATTTTAATCTAAAGAGTTTATTGTTTTTAA